CCCTCCCCCCCAATCTCTAAATTTTTTTCTTTGGCCCTCCCCCTACAGGTACCCGTAATTTCCCGAATATAGTACACATCCCGATTAAAGTACGCACACCCCGATTTGGGGCTGGTGGGAGACAAATATTCCCGTCTGAAACGTAAAATGGAAAAACTCGAATAAAATACGCACTCCTTGTACGCACGGCCGGTGCCACTGTGGACCTGTATGTATGTCTTATTAATAAAAGACAGTTCGTTCTAGAAAAAAAGCTGTTTAAAAATAGATTTAGGCCGTGTACTACGGGGTAACGTTACAGTCTGTTCAGAGGAAAGAAATACTTCCTTTTCGGGGCCCAGGTTCGCTGTCCTCAGCGCTGCCACGACCCTCTCTTCGTTTTTCAGTTGTAGGTGTACTTTGGGGAATTAGAGTTCGGCGTGAACAAGAGAACGGACGTTGCATGATTCAAAGTTTATTTACGCCCTTATTCACGCCGATCACGCTTAAGTACGTGCACGTGGCTTCCCGGTCTAGTTGGGGTACTTCATGCAATGCCAAGGCAACGGCACGAACACTGGCGCCACGCCTGTCGGCGCGTACAGACTGGACCCGCCCACCGGCCGGCGGTAAGATTTCATTATTTATTATTAAAGACTACATTTTATAACTCCGCCCCTATCATTGTAGTTTGCAACAGCCGGGTAGAAGTACATCTAGCTGGCATTTTCACGTCGTGCATGGCAGCTATAGCCCGCTACAAAGTGGCATTTATCAAGATTCAAAAAGATTTGTGATACGAAATGAAACATGGCTAACAATTTCTGTTAGTTAGCTAAACCTTTGAAACGGCATGGGCATAATCTTTGTTGAATATTTCTGAGTTCAACTCAAGCCGGAAGTGCATTAGAAGTGACCATCAGGTACAACTATTAGTATTACGCTATCATATGTTACGTTACGACGATCAAGAACGTTCATGGCTTGCGGATCATTTCAAATATTACTACTCATAAACAATCTTGCAATATTGTATATGTACTTACGTTTTTTTGTTTTTTGTTTTAATTTTCGGCGGGGGTCCACTGAGATTGGCACCGACAGGCTGACAAACGATCCGGTCGGCATGACAAAGCGCCAAACGCCATTCAGTGACCTACATTTTCTTACCGTGCACTGCTTGACTTGACTTCTTTTACCGGAACTTGGTGTAAATATCGACGATAGTCAGAGGAAATATGTTCATTGATTGAAGGTTAACTTTATTTCCACTCGTCCATATTGTTATCTAAACATGCTAGGGACGAATTCGTTCCAAGCTCCCCGTGCCGGTGTTCCGCTATATTCCTGGGTCGTCCACGGATTTGTCGGGGGAAAATCTCAAATAAAGTACGCACCCCGAATTTGGCGACGGCCCGAGGCACTTTGGGGATTTTGAAAAGTTTAAGAAGTACGTACATTAGTCGGGGATTTACGGTAAGTAAAAATGGTTAAAAAAAACTTAAACAAATCACGTTTTAGTACAACAGCACAAAGCAGGCCAGATTTGAGCGTCAGGGCGTCGCCTGCTGTAAAAGAACCGGTGTTTCTTGGTTAATGTGCTAGTCTTAGACCTACATGCTTTAGTATTCATTTTTTTGTTGATATTTTTCAATAATCAGTGTTCTAGCCAGCCTGATTTTTCCCGTCCGTCATCGCAATTTTGTTTGCCGTAAGATTCTGTCGAGCGCCGAAGGCGCGAGAGTTCGGGAAAAATGTGTAAAAGTTGACCCTCTGAACATTATTTCCTGCATTTTGAGGGACACTTTTCCGAGAAGCATTGCACATTTTCAGAGCTAGGAACGTAGGATCGTACGACGGATACGTAAAACAAATTTTCCATGGCCCTCCCCCCAGCCCCGATTTTTTTCCATGGCCCTCCCCCATATGCCAAATATTTTTTCCATGGCCCTCCCCCCCCTACGCACCAGACCTCCCCCCCCCGCTAAATATCGTACAGTCCCTAAGACGGTGGGGCTGTCTTTGTTACTAGACACGACCATGATAGTCCGATCTTTATGTGAATGCAATGATTGTGTGTGTGTAATTAAAATGAACTTCGAACTTGAAGCACAGTATCTTTACATGCCCTGGGAGCAGTAATGGATTTAGCTCTTTGTATGTTTTATGCTTGTGACGCGCCCTCATTGTATTAACCGTTGCCTAATTATAATGTCTGCACAGTAGGTCTGGCGTTGACGCTTGGGATTGTTTTTGTTGAAATATATAAAACTTCACGGAGGATTGTCACCTATGGCTTCTTGTTGATTTTTTTTGTAACTTATTGTATATTTTTGCTCATTTTGCAACTGTTTTGTATGATTTACAGTATGGTTGAAAACTTCTTTTTTTTTTGGAAACGGCCGAAAATTCATGCGCGCGGATGTCATCCATATCAACATGGCCTAACAGGCAATGTTGTTATGCAAGTACTCCAGACAACCGTAAGAATTTTACTAGTAGACAGATAATCAAGTATCATTGAATAGGAAGAAATATTAATAAATTGCCATTCAGCACCAAGGACATGTATCATCAGTGATCTGTTATTGTGAGCCCCTGCCCCCTTACATTACAGGTAAATATATATAAATTCCTAGTATTTTTATTGGGAAACTACATGTAGATCTCTAAGGCACGTTCACTCTTACCTTGAGTCCATTAAACACAGGTCTGCTCTGAGCCACTCTGCTGGTGATCTGAACTACCAATGGTTGTGCCTAGAGGGAGACAAAAACACAAGCAAATCTATCATCAGCTGACTTAATTTTCAGTGCACAACCTTTTACTAAACCAATTTGTAACAATATAATGCAGCAGGGTTGGACAAGTCCACTTGCCCACTTGCCCAGGGCAAGTAAAAGCACCGTTTTGAGCAAATAATCTTTTTTTTATGTGGCATTATGCCCCAGTATAGCAGTGTTTGGATAAGATTAGATACTAGTGTTTAGAGCAAAATTACTCATAATTTTACTATAAAAATATTATATTGATACCAGTCAAAAGTATGCCCTTTTGGCATGCAATATCATAAACGTTAAAGTGGTTTTCTTGCTAAAAAATAAAATAATTAAAGTAAAAATGCATAAAAATATGTGACATATATTTATATTTCAGGCAGGTGAAAAGTTGGTTCAGGTAAGTAGAAATGACCCTGATACAGTCCTAAATCATTTTTGTTTGACTAGTATGGCAATCTTGTCCAAGTCTACATTTATATCTCACATTTTATTGGTAAAAGATATAATTATTATCCATATACATCTAAGGTCTTCTTATTAGGACTCTGGAGCTTCTCAAGAACCCCACCTCACCTGTTCCACAGCCTCTCTGAGTGCATCGTTGTTCTTGACACCATTGAGGTGTGAAACAGCACCCCAGGCAAACTCCAGAGGGAAGGACAGTCTTTCCAGGGTCTCCACTAGTGTAGGCCAGGTCACTGTACTCACATCTGAGGAACATGGAGGTTCAAATTTTATAGAATGTTACCTCATCTTTACCAAACTGGTAGAGTAGCTCAATCGGGTAGAGTGCTCCCTTTGTAACTGGGAGGTGGTGAGTTCAAATTAAACCCCGGACAGGTCATACAAAGACTTTACAAATGGTACATACTACTTTCTCTGCTTAAAGCACTTAGCATCTATGACAAAGAGTATGGGAAGGTCAAACACACAACACTTATCAGTGGGCTCTAGTCTGAGCACCATTTTTTTCAGTCAATTACTAGAACTTTGTGGCATGTGATAGAAAAAAATTAAACCAATCCATCAACCTTGATCGCTGACGGACAAAGTCGACAAATATCTTGGGTAAAAATACGAAAACATTCAATGGACCACTGATAACCACTCTCATTATTTACCTCTCAAAATGCGGGAAATTGTGGCTTTCGAGCCTTAAAAATCCAAAATTTTCCCCGGACCCCCCAAGATTGCAAGTGCCCCAATTGTGAACCTAAGCTGATGGAAAAAAATTTCAAGCTGGCAAGAGCCCTGACTTACATGTACATGTACACATACATTGTACAATACCTCCTTATCTCCTCCGTACTTATCCCACCTCACCCCATTCCATTTGTATATCACAGTTTATTACACATTTCTTTATTCAAGTTGCAACAGCAATACACAGTGGAGCACTAGGCAGCAAATTCAGCTGATGCTGTGTTCTACACAATACAAAACATATGATACAACAGTAAATACAGTCAGGCATATATTAAATACAGATTCTGCATGAGACCTTCTATGTTGTTCTCCAGTTTTCCAACCCCCGTCTCCAGTTCTTCCACCAGTGTCTTCACAGCTGGTACCACATGCTCAGCCTTGATGGCCTGGAACTCTGGCAGGTGCTCGTGTCTCAGCAGCGGGTTGTTGGCAGGTGTTACAGCTGCAGCTGTACTGCAGTATCTGTAGGCAAAAAAAGCATACTGGTACCATCATCTCAAACAGGTAACATTTGTACACATGTACTACAATGATTAGTGCTGTGTACTGGTTCACTGGACTTGGATCCGGCCTTGTAAGAATGTTTAGGTTCAAGTCCAAAAAAAGTTAAAAGTCAAGAATTGAGTCAGGACTTATTACCATATAATTTTGATGACCATGTCACATACCCCTTTTCTTTCCAAACCACCTAAAACCTTCCGTAGATTGCAATATCTTTGCTGCAAAATGAAGGAAACATTGCCATCGGGCATCGTCAAGTACCGGCCTCCATGTTATGTGGCCACAGCTTTGCCCAGATAACATTGCAAGGTTGCCAACAAGCACTTTTGTACATGCCATGGGTTTAGGTCTGGACTTACAAGTCTGGAACTGAACCTAAACCTCTGGTCTGGACTTGAATCTGGACCAGAACCTAAATGTGGGTTTAGGTACACAGCACTTACAATGATCAACTTAGGAGTCAAATGCTCCTTTTGTTTATCTCCAAGCAGATCTTTTGGTTGCTGTAAAGACAGTATCAAATTGGTCAGGCAGTATCCATTAGCCAGACAGTATTCAGTGGCCACTGAAAGATTTGCTTGGAAGAAAACCCTGCTTTCTCCAGCCCTCACCCTAACACCATAGCCAGCAGAGACATCTAACTTTGGTAACCAAAGTCAAAGATGCTACTAGAAAGGTAACATTTGCAAAGCAAATGCATGATTGCAACATGATGTAACCCAACACCAGTTACCATGGTGACAGACATCTGGTTCAGGTCATTGATCTTATTGGTTTGAAGAATCAAAGAAGAAGAGGAAACATCTAACAAGAACAATATGTTTTCCTTTGGTAAACATAATTTTTAATGATAAATGATAATATTATTACAGGCTAAACATGAAGCCATTGAAATGGAAATTTGAAAGGTTTTGTCACAGCCAAAGGCAGAACTTCCCCAGAAGCAATGATTTCAAAGCAATCCACCAGTTTCCCATCCCCAGAATGCAATGTGAAAATACGGGGGTAACCCTCATTTGCATAGGACAGGAAGGCATCGGAATGATCCTGTTGACGTTAAACAGCTTGTTTTTCAGTGTGTTTTGAGTTGTCGGGGCATTTGATACTATGGGTTGAATCTGAAAGCAAATAGAGAATGAATTTTTATGGGTTCACCACACCACGAAGTGGTGGTGAACCCATATTGCTTTTTCTGATGTTTCTTCTCCTTCTCCTGCCATTTTTTAAATGGATTCAGCTTCTTCATTTTAGGGCCCAAGGTCCTGAAATTTGGTATGGAGGTACAGTGGGCAAATACCCCTAGGCGTTTTTTAAATTATTGTGATACAGGCTTTTAGAATGGTTTTATTTGAGTTTTTTGGCTGTGTTATAGCAAATGTATTACTGTGTTAGTGTGCCTTGTTTACCACGTTTGGGCATGAGTCATCACAATGGAATGCAGGGCATCAACCAATAGGCATGCAGCTTTCCTCTATTCTTCTTGCTGATTGGCTGTTGGGATTTAACTTGATCAACACCTGCACAGAGCATTTCCACCTGCACAGAGCATTTCTTGCTGATTAGCTGTTGGGATTTAACTTGATTAACACCTGCACAGAGCATTTCCATACTGACAGTATGTCTGTATTCAAGTGTTTTGGTAGGTATTTCAAGCTTTCCTGCTCCAGCATTGGAATGCGGGGCATGGACGTTTTTTTTTATTTTGAAAATCAACAGTTTGCATTATGCAATTAAAAATCCTAACCAATAAAGTAGGGAATAGCTATCCAACTGTTGTTTTAGTTGTATTTTACTTCATATTATAGTTATATCAATGTAAATCATTGTTTTCCCTTGTGTTTTTCATTCTTTCCCTGCCATGTCGTAAAATGTGGTGAACCCATCGCTGTATTTGCTCCAAAGCAAATATTGGCCTTTCTAGTTTGGAATATGTGGTTTGTAACGTTATAGTGGTAACGCTATACTGATGCTGCAACGTTACAAACCACATGTTCCGTGTTGAAAAGACCACTAAACTTCCTTCTCTATCTGTTGTCAGATTTGGCCCATAGTATTTTAATTAATGTTGAGCATAAAATGCCCCAACACCTTAAAACACAGTGAAAAACAAGCTGTTTAACGTCACCAGGATCATTCCGATGCCTTCCAGTCATATGCAAATGAGGGTTACCCCCGCAGTTTCGCATTGCATTCTGGGAATGGGAAACTGGTGAATGAATGACCACCAAGCTACCTTTGCGGCTGTGTTAGGAGAGGGTGGATGGGCCAGGGCCAGTAGCAGTACGGTTGTGGGGTGATGACGGCTACAACTCCCCGCAATACCAGGGACGACATTATCATTACCATGGCAATAACCAGACAGCAACACCTAAGAGCACACGAGAGGAATGAGCCAAATGATCCAAGTCTTTTTTGTATACGAACTTAACATCTGTGTCCATAATATCACCAGAGTTCATAAATATAGAATACAACACGGTGTATTCCGTATCACCCGAGGTACCAGCCCGACCGCGCGTCGGATCGCCCGACGGCCGAAGGCCGGAGGGAGATCCGATCCGTGGGAGGGCTGGGACCGAGGGTGATGCGGAATACACCGTGTTGTATTTTATTTATGTCATACCTACCCAAGAAAACACGCCTTTCAGTGCAAAATGAGCAAAAATTTGGTGTCCCTGAACCCAAAAAACGCTACAACATCAATCCCAACGTCCGAATTTGTATATTCGAATTTTCGAAAGCGGTGCAAGCGGTTAGGGCGAAACGCGTTCGAATCGTTCTATGGAACATTTGGAAGGCCCGGGCCGTACGCGTTAAGAACCCCCGGGCTGTACCGCTAGTTATCACACGGGCCGGAACACCCGTATCGAACGTAATCGCGGCCCAGGTAGGACATAATAATTAATATCGCCACCGTGAGAAACAGTGTGCTTAAAGATATTTTTACTGCAACATACCCTAGGTATGTACATTTGAGGTGTGCAGGAATGCATACCAAAAGTATGTTGCAGTAAAAATATCTTTAAGCACACTATTTCTCAAGGTGGCGATATTATGGACCCTGGTGATATTATGGACACAGATGTAAGGCCATGTTGATTTGATTATATGGATGACATCCGGCACACATGAATTTTTGTCTTTTTCCACAAATAAAAAAAGTTTTTGACCGTAAATCGTACAAAGTAGCTGCAAACTGAGCAAATATGCCGTAAACTGAAAATATTGGATAACGATACTCAATGCCAAAATCCATTCTAAAGGGCAAGAAGAAAATGTGAAGGAATAAAAATGAAGTCTACAATTATTATTCACCATGCCAATAAAATTATATTACTCTGTGTGTTATTTTGTTCAACCTTCGTGACCACGTAGATTTCATAATGAAGGAAACTTTTTTTTTTTTTGCCAAACTTTTTTTATTCGCACGCTCGGGTCAGTTTTGGAGTTCCCAGAGGATGTCATCCATATAATCAAATCAACATGGCCCAAAATTTGCAGAACCGCGTGAGAAAAAATATGGGGAGGGGGGCTTCATATTTTTTTTTGCGTCCAAACAAACTAACAGTTACCCAAATATCTTTACCTTTACTACAAAAATGTTGACTGTATCGTTACCTCCTACAAGTTACTTACCGTCCACTCCGTATCCGAAGACAATGTCTTGTCCTTCCTTTTCTACAGAGAGATTTCACGACACTGTGGACCAAAACTCTGCCCATGGACGTTGCCATTTTGTTTTTGGTTTAGAGGTTAAAGGTAAACGGATTGATCCACTTTTCTCTCGGGGAGGGTGGCTGAAAACATTGGTACGTCAATGGACGCCCCCTGTTGGTTGCCAGTGACAGTGCAGCAGAGTTATAAGTAAAACCAAGGACATTGTACACAGAGAGTATAATGTCCTTGGTAAACATTTACAAAACAGATCCATTAGTTACAACAATGGATACCATTTCAATTGTCCCACTGAGCATGTTTAAGTTATCTCCAAATTTATACTGCATTTAGTTTCTACCTACTAAGCCATCTGGGTACCATCTGGATTTTCGCTGTGCGACGCTCGAAAAAAATCAATTTTTTCGAGCGTTGCGTGTCAATTTTTTCGAGCGTTGCGTAGCGAAAATCCGGATGGTACCCAGGCTAGTTTCTACCAGCTATTAATTAATGGCTATCCGTGTTATGGTGATTTTCAAAACTTATTAAATACATTTTGTAAAAGAAATAGTCTATACCTAAAAAAATTGACCAAATGTAGAAACTCACTTATTCTCGGAATACCTGTAGATATACAATCTATCAATCATAATATTATACAAAATGTACATCGAAAATGGTGTCTTTAGACTACTTCAGGTCATAACATTTGACAATGTGCTTAGTCTAATCATCCAAATTGTAGTGGCTTGTGCATCAGCAAATTTGGAATGAGCGTAGCGTAATTCTGTAAATTAAAAAGTGCATGCCCACAGCTGCAACCTTCTTGAAAGTTCATCTGTGTTGGTAGAAATAATTATGAAGCAACTGTAATTTCCAACACAACAAATTGGACTCACCCAAATTTTCGACTGTACAACTCCAGTCTTTGTGAAGGAATGAGCAATCCACCGCTTCCGTGACGTCACGCAGATAACACACGTGACTCTGTGAGCAGTGGATCATAGGTTGCAGAAAGTCTGTGGCGCCCCCCGTCTCTGTTAAGGGATGGTTGTAATGCCCTGATGTAGATGGCCAGACTTCTTTGCACGAGGGATTAAAGAGGCCATCTACATCAGGGCACATTACAGTTGTACAGTCCAAAACTTGAGTGAGTCCAATTTGTTGTGTTGGAAATTACAGTTTAAACTTGCTTCATAGCTACAACCTACATGTATCGCCTCTATATTTCTACCAAAGACTAAAGTGGAATTGTCTTGGATTGGATGGAAAAAGAGACAAGAAAAACAAGGACACAACACTTTTAAAGCAAACCATGGCTTTATATTCAGCTCTTGTACAAAGGGAAGAGTCACTGTCAGTAGAGAAAATTCACAGCCAAAAGTTACAAACCCATTGAAAGACAATGACTTCACAGAGTAACAGTATTATTATTCGGTACCATTTCACAAGTCAATGGCACTTTTTTTTTCTTCTTTTTCCACAGACAAATTCTGGTTATTCGAGTTACTATTGCCTCTAGGTCTATCGTCAGCACTTCAAGTTTAAGATAGAAAAGTCTACACTAAGATAACAAACTATACAGTCTGCGTTCTGAAATCCAGTTCTAAAGTCTACACTCTGCAAGCAAGCAAGCAATAAATGCAGCCATTGGTTTATAACATCACAATGTCATTGCTACTTCTTCACAGCTCAGATGGAATGATTAAACAAAGCAGTCAAAAACTTGCTACAAGTCAATAACAGTAATACATTGAATACCCAGTTTTATTGGGTTAAGCTTTATAATTACTATGTTGGCACATTTCCAGTTAATTGTTTTAAGTCTGTATCATGTGGATGTCATAGATTAAAGCTTCAGGAATGCATAAAGGCATTTGAATTGATTCATTTGAATAACAATGGCATTGGCAGCAGAGCACATACCTGTATCAACCAATCAGAAACCTTGCACTTTAGTGTAATGTTGAAACTGTTAGTTTCGAGTTTTCTCATTGGTTACTTAGCTACATAGCTGTATCAACCAATCAGAAACCTTGTACTTTTGTAATGTGGAAACTGTTAGTTTCGAGTTTTTTTCATTGGTTACTTAGCTACATACCTGTATCAACCAATCAGAAACCTTGTAATGTTGAAACTGTTAGTTTTGAGTTTTCTCATTGGTTACTTAGCTACATACCTGTATCAACCAATCAGAAACCTTGTACTTTTGTAATGTTGAAACTGTTAGTTTCGAGTGTTATCATTGGTTACTTAGCTACCGGTATACTAGTATGTGTGTTGACATCATTGACTGATCAAAAGCTCCAGTGTGAATATTAAGGCAATGTCACCTGTGCAGGTTGTAGAGTACACGACTTCTTTAAGAAAAACAGATAAGTAAGATCTGTTTCTTTAGTGTGGCTCTCAGCAAAATGGCATTTCTTGTATAAAACACTGTAGAAATCATGACATAATTATAATAGTTGCTTAGGTCTCACTTCTAGGCTGCATTTACCCACAGAAAGCAAAGTTTGCAATAGCTATCCACAGAGCAGTTACATAGCCGTAGTCAAAATTCTTCCTCAAAAACACAAAAAGAAAACCTACAACATCGACATAGATTCATTAAAAATCAAAATTATTCACAAATAAGTTTTGAGTGTTTATAATGACCACCACACCCATGTATTTATAAATCATAAATTAAACGAGCATGCAAACTCATACATGCATGCACATGCTTAAAAATGCAGGAACTATCCGAGTGATTATTTTTCTAGCTACTAATCTGGTATTAAGACCTATTGTACCTCAAGTCTTTCTTAGTGTTAGTTGACAATCCAAGACCATCTGGAAAAGAATATTCTTCATTCAATTTCTTCTATATCTATAAGGCTTCCATTCAGCCTTTTCACATTCAAATACAATTCAATATCCTTAAGTCCACACGCAAAGCATCCATGTTTTTTTAGCAGTTTCGATATTACCTTTCCAGTGGCTTTTTCACCATCCTTTTACAGTGTTCTCCAACTCTACATACCTTTTTTTTCAAACACCACACTATTCTACGTTACAAGCTTTTCTATTCATTCTTCACTTGTCCAAAAGTCTTGGTTACATTCTTATCCTTAATTTCACGTATCTTAAGTTGACATTCAAAAGATCTTTCAATTCTTAAACCACAAGCCCTTGAAAGTGTGAAGATGACACGCTGTTTCTAAGTCTTCAGTTAACTAAATGTAGTGCATTCTGAACTCTATTATATAGAGACCATGGAAAAATTCACTATCTAGGCCACACCAATTTAATTTGCTGTTTCTCGGATTTTTTTTTCAGAAAAAATATGAAGCGACAGGGAAAAAAATAATTTAAAAGGCCAAGGCACCCCATGATAGCCAGAAATATTACAATATGAGCCATGAAGTGAACATACCAGGCAGATTTATAATTAAAACAACAAATTTTGAACTTTAAATGAAACAAAATTGCATTGTTACATAGAAAAACTTTAACAACTAGGAAGAAATGGACTTTCTTCAACCGATATGGCCAAAATATGTCTTTCATTTATCATTTTTGAGTTTATTCAGAACCTAAAATCTTTTTTTTTTTTTAAATCAGAAAAAAATGTACAGGCGAATCTGAGAAACAACCAATTAAATTGGTGTGGCCCTACAGAAACCTTACTCAACAGCATAACATGTAAGAATTGTTAATAATGTGATGAGTATACAATATATCTTCATGAAAAAACAAAATACAAGATGAAAATAATTGTGGAAAATATACTTAAAGTCATGGCTTCCAATGTTTCAGTCTTGGAGGTTAATTATTTTGATGATTTTTACATTACATATGTACAATAGTAACCATTGCTTTCATATCCAAAACATCTACCTTATAATTAAGAAATACAATCATGAGGATTTGGGTCAGTTATTATTACACATGCGAGTTTCCCTGTCATCTTACGCACTGGTTAACCCATCAAAACAGCTACTGTAGCCTAAGTAATTAGTCAGTAACGTGTCGGACTATACAGCAGCAAAAAGGGTAGAAAATCTGGAATCAAACAGTCAAATTTCTACGTGTCAGTTATTACAGTTTAAGCCTCAACAGTTATTTTGTACTGACATACTTCTGAGCATTTTGTTTTGATTAAAAAAAGGATTTTAGGTCATTCAAAAAGATTTGGTTATAGTAACAAGACAGGGATATGCTCTGGTTTTCAAAATTCTGTGTTAAAAAGCCACAATGAATTCTTTCTCTGAAATTTGTCAAAACCTTCAGTTACAGTACAGTTGTATTTTGAAATTTGGTTCAATTTGGAGTCAACCGATCTGATAATTGACAATAAGACTAACAATTTCTGAGGATATCTTTAGAGCAGTCATCTTCTATTACTGTAGATAATGATATTAATTCATCCTATTTTGTGTTCACTGTTATACAATGTAGTTAGCATCTGGTGACATTGAACAAATCTGTTTTGTGTTGGTTACATCAAAAATGCCTTTTACACAGTATCAAAGTGTACTGACCAAGAGACCACTGGCAAAAAACATGCACCGATTACACAATAAATGCCTTAGTTTTTATGTGAAGTATAAAAGACCTGGTACATTCTCTGATCAGAAATTTCTTGTCATGAAAGCGAAGTTTATAAAATAGTGACAGATAGAAGTTTACCGATTTTTCATGGACACTGTAGATGTTTCAGTTACGATACAAGATGTATATATAATAGGCATTTGGGGTGAAAAAAGCTAAGGAGTTTGGAAACAAGGAATAAGTAGAGAGTTTCAAAACCACTGGCCTATGCTCACCCTTTTTGTAGCTGCCAAACCACAGTAATATTGCTTGATTATCCAGTCCTTTTCAAAAGCCAGAATCATCAAGTTTAGCACACAAAATGGGCAACCAGAAATGATCACATGTCATGTAATTTGTTAAGAACCAATCTGCAAATTTGCCCAATCCAATGGAATAGACCAGTGACTTGTTTTTATCAAATCACGTCAACTGATATTTACAATTATGAATTTACTACCAAATGTGACACTGTTTTCATTCATTCAAGGTGCTGTAAGTTTTGGACAATTAATTAGCATTGTAGAGAGACCTTCTAATCAAACCCTTGGTAGAAAACGGTTGGTCATCATTACTTGTAAGACTTCTTAAATTTGTCTTCAACACTTTTAAGACACGTCATCGAAGGCACGGCGGCCACACTATCTCTGAATGATGGACATTAACCAATGGCATTGGTGCTTATTCTTACATCTTAAATCTGGGAAACCTTACTATAGCACGAGAACTCCAAAGACCAGGACGTTCGTCCACACAGGAATCGAGTTGCCACGAAGGAAGCAGCAGGAGCGCCTGTTGCTAATGGCAACCGGTCGCCATGGTTACTGCAACATGAGCTGCTTAAGATTGTCCTGGAGGATGGTGTCCTTGACGGCGTGAAAGACGAACTTGATGTTCTCCGTGTCGACGGCCGTGGTGAAGTGGTGGAACAGCGGCTTGTTCCGCTCCCGCCTCTTAGCGTCGAACAGGTTCAGGATAAAGTTTTGCACGTCCGTCAGATTGTGCGGGTCCGAGGAGTCCGGGAACTCGGCGAAGTAATCCTTGACGCTCACGTACTTGACCTTGTCTTGCAACAAGTCCGTCTTGTTGAGGAACAGGATGATGGACACCTCCGTGAAAGTCTTATTATTCACTATCGTCTCGAAGATGTTGAGGGACTCCACCAGGCGGTTCGTTTTCCGGTCTTCCATCAGGACTTGGTCGAACTCGCTGGACGACACCAGGAACAGGATGGACGTGACCGACTCGAAGCACTGGAACCACTTCTGGCGCTGCGACCTCTGACCTCCCACGTCCACCATGAGGAAGGGGATGCCTTTAATGTCAAATTCATGTTCCACAATGCCTTTGGTGGCCTTTCTCGCGTACAGGACGTCTTGCTTGCTTGGAATGTACTCCTGCAACAGACAGACAATATACAAATAAAGAAACAAGTAAAATCTGAGATTTTATGCCACCGGTCTTTTTATTGTATATTTTTATATGGGGTTTTAAACAAAGAATTTATCGAGACAGGGCACCCCTCTGTGCAAGGGGTCATATACGTGGACCAGACCGAGAATAGCTTAAACACACCAAAGGTCAACGGTCGCGACCATTTTTACACTCAAAGGGGTCACCGTTCTGGGGCAACCAAAAGGCACCATTTTCACGCCCCAAAAACACATATACAATAAAAACAAAAGAATGTGCATAATCTACAGCCCAATAGCAAAACATACACCGAGTCCCAAAAAAATCCGTCCACCCAAACGCGAGAAACAGCTGCGAACATGAAAATCTAAATCTCTCACAAAACCCTTCCACGGAAGGATGTCTCCTCCCCCGGAGGTAATAAACATACTCATACAGCAAAAGACTTCAATAAGTGGTTTGCTGACTATCTACCTTACAGGCCGACAGTAACAAGTTGTGATGGGCTGGTGTGCCTCAAGGTAGGTATATTGGGCCCACTGCTACTTCTTGTATTCATCAATGACATAAAAGAGCTTCCCTGTTCCTCCAACATTAACTGTTTCACTGATGTATGTGTTCTATGTGTGAGACACAACACCAGCAACAGCTGCCTTTGTCCCACGTGTATTGTACTGTTACAATTTCAATAAATTAAATCAAATCAAAGACATCATTGTTGCAGTAATTTAACAGCAATCATAATCCTTTTTTTAAGCGATCAACATAAGATTACTAGTACAAAGACATTCCTGTACACAAATGTAGCTTTGCATCTTCAAACTCTTTTGAAAGGCAATGTGAGGCTGTGTGTGTATGCTAGTGATAAGAGCTCATAGCAACTGCCTATTTCAAAAACACATTAATTTTAAACAGATAATACAGGTTTGGCCTTCCATTGCTATCTGGCCTTCCCATGTGTGTGCCCACAGTCATAGGAGCTGGCCTTGGTGCTGAATTTACTGTGGTCCACTCTATGTTGGATTGTAATCAAGAAATGCAGGCATCATGAAAGCTTACAGCTTTGTCTGCAAATATAGCCTTTTGGTATCACATTAGTATAGCTTCACTGGGTTCTAGCTAGCGCGAAGGGGCCCCGACGCTATAATTTTGACCCCCCTACGCTAAATTTCCCCCTTACGCTAATTTTCAATACAGCATAGGGGCATTGTGACTGTATTTCTTTGTTCAAGAATGCCAGATCAAATGTGAAAAATTACCAATCAAGGATACATTGTACATACATTGTACCTTAGAAATAACATGTTTTTCCCTTTGGGTATCCCTCAAATGACCTCTTCTTTAGCTCAAATTTTTAAAAGCACATCCCCCCTTCTGCCCCATCCCCCCTTTCTGTTGCTTGACTCCCTTGACATGCGGCCAGTGCCACTACGCTAAAATTAAATCCTAGCTAGAACCCTGAGCTTTAGAAATTCTGCAGCATACAGGGAAACTGAATGTGTGAAGAATATGATTCTGATTCAATCCAGTATACAAAAATAGCTTTCCTTTCAGGTGGACACTCCAGATTAAATTGAAGTGTTCAGAACCCATTTTCCATTGAGAAATGTTAATTGATGAGAAGTCCCTTCCATATTTTGTATATGACCAGGGTTTACGTCCAACAAGGTTTAGGTTAGGACTTAAAAAGTCTGGACCTGAACCTAAACCTCTGGACTTGAATCTGGACCTGGACCTGGACCTGAACGTGGGTTTAGGTACACAGCACTAGTCATTCTTTGAAAATTTTGAAAAAAAATTACCGTTAAATTTTCCAAATTTATTGGTTTCTAGTGTCAGAATATAAATGTTTATTTGTTAGAATGTGCGGTTGGATGCTTGTTGACATTTTTATTCATTCAGCTATATTGATATGTGATTTTTTTGGGAAATGGTTTAAGGAAATACGATCTACCTTAGTTTTTAATATATTAAAACACCTTTGAAATACTTGCTCCAGGTTCCAGGTAGAAAATACATGTACATTTTGTATCATGTATTTTTCACTTGCTGAACTTGTGGAAGCACCGTTGGCCCCCGGTTAGGGGTCATAGCGTGGAACCTATGCCCAATTTTTTCAAAATTCAAGAATCTGCTAATATTATTTTTTGAATAACAGTATAAAGTGAAGACGGAGAGGACAAGGCTGGAATTAAGAACATATCTTGATAACGAATTAAGAACATATCTTAATGACTTAAACATTTTTTCCTGCCTGACACGAATTTGAAATTTTAGAGAGGATGTACAAACGTACATTGTACAGCTAAATTTGCAGGAAATGACTTCCATTTATGTCTGGGAAAGACAAAATGCAAGGGAGGGGGAAGCTGCATCTTTTGCACTCTAACTGCCCACCCAGCTCTAAATTTCTGTGGAGATCCCTTAAAACCCAGCTTCAGTGTATTCGTGCTAAGTCTTGCAAATCACGTCGATAGGACAATATTTTTTGGTGGTGCGCCTAGATTTTAGCCTGTGCTCCTAACTTTTTAAGGGTTCGGAGCACAGTGCTCCTTGGTCAAAAAGTTAATTTTGAGCCCTGAAGAAGTATACATAGTCTTGAATGGCTGTAAAGTAATTATAAAGCTATCTTCAACAGTGCCCATTCAGATCTTGTCTACCTATGTGTAACAAAGAATCAGAACTGACAGAACTGCGTGCAAGCTTTCAGCTAAAATAGGCAACAATTAACTGAAGGGTGGACGAGCCTTCTGATGTACATGTCACTTGAGATGTTGACTTCGATTTTGATGAGCCAAAAATAAGTCTCAGGGTTTGGCATGATTGCGTTTGTCTAAGTGCATAATCTCATGCGTTGGTGATCAGTTTATAAATATAATGGAAGGGAGTCGGCTAATGGACACAGGTGTAGTACTAGTGGTAATTACTTCTTTCACAGCTTTTATATATTCTGTACATCTCTGAACAATTTCATATTCGTTTCAATAAATAGAATGATAATATAAATGGTGGCTACGTATTATTGTACACCATATGGGGTCTGGGGAATTTCATAACTGGCGACAGATTTAGTGAAATCTGCATGTTAAGACCCTAAGGTAATACATCTATTGTGTTTTGGCTGTTATGTCATTTTCATGCAACCTGCTGTTTTGGCTACTGTAGTTCTAAAGAGCATATTTACCGCAAAATTTTGTAGCGAGTACTGCACTACCAGGGTTTAGAAGCAAGATATGTTGTTTGTGTGCCATGAAGCAAAACTGTGGCCACATAATTTAGGGAGGCCGAAACTTGACGATGCCCAGTGGCAATGTTTACTTTATTTCTTCATTTTGCGGCACAAATCTTTTATTGAAGATTTCATGCAGTTTAGAACAAAAAGGGGATTGTGACATGGTTTTTTTTGGTAAGTCCGGAACTAAGCTTCATACATTCAGTTTTTTTTTAAGGGGAATTGAACCTAAACATTTTTTACATGTTCGGAACTAGTTCCAGCAAACCGGTACACAGCACTAATTGTGACACCACCCATCTTTCACTTGTAGCATTACTACTCTCATCTGCCGAATAAACATATGGGTACGTTTATTTTTTTGGGCCAGAACATCTACCCAGTACGTTCTTATTTTGCACAGTACGATTATTAATTTTTTGAAAACCAGTAATTTTTTTCAACTTCGTGTGAAAAAAATTGACAAATCATCGACGTGAAGACGTTTATAAACGCGTATTGTAGCCAGAAACTTGTCATTTTCGGGCCGGTTTTTGCAATCACCGCGTGCATAAATTCGTCTGAATGTTCTATTGTCATGGGTGGTGCTTATCAAAATACAAAATATTAAATGCTATTTTTTTGTTGTCTATTTAAATTCCTAATTGCAAATAACAGTTAAAGATTTGTGCATATATCAGTAAAGGCGCATTTTTAGTACAAGAGACACAGGTTACCCGTCAATTTTGGTAATTTTCCGGGGGGGGTACGTTTATTCCGGGGGTATGTTTATTTGATTTTGAAGATTTGTCCGGGGGGTACGTTTATTCCGGGGGGTATGTTTATTCGGCAGATGAGAGTACATGTATTAACATTGCTGTTAACAAGATATCTGATTCAATTTTCTTAGTCATTTAAGAATCTCAAATTTCTTGTTTTAAATAAAATCCAACATGAAATTTCATATTAATTTTTTTTCCATACGCAATTATGTTAAGTCATCAATCATTTGAAAGGAGCACCTAAAATCTTGACTTGAAAATTTGTACGGTAGGAGAGCTGGGCTTGAAATACTGGCGGGTTCATGTGCACTTTAGTGCACCCAAAATTTGAGCTGTGCACCCAATTGTTTTCTGTGGGTGCACCAATGCACCCAAATATTTTTGTAGGTATCTTCGTACTTAGATTTATAATAGTATACAGGATATTCTTGTCATCGAAGGGTCAGAAAAGTAATAAAATCTTTGTTGTAGCACATGAGTAAGATTTTGAAGTTAGCTCCCATTTCAGATTCAAGCTCAGAAGAGGAGCAGTAAGATCTGTAATTAGGTTTTGTTTTTTTTATATGGTGCACCCCCAAAAAAATTTGTGCCTAATTTTCTACGTTTGGTGCACCAGTGTAGTGTACCTATTCCCAAAAAAGGATTTCGAGCCCTGGAGAGTAAGAGAGCAAGTTTCACTATGTGTTTCTATCAGACCCTGTGGGGACAGATTTTCGTATCAGCTCTATAATAGACCATTATTACATTCTCCCTTGACATGAAGGCATTGGATCTGAATCTCGCCACGGCCGAATGACTCAAAAAGAATCTCAGACCAAGTGTAATATCATTCAGCTCTCCTTAATGTTGGAGTGGGCTGCAATAAATGCCACAGGTGCCTACGGGGGATGCAAAAGACCCTACGTGGATAACTTCTTTTCTTCAGTTCTGTGTGGCTGCATTCAAACGCCTGTCAGTGATATATGAGAAGCAATATAACTTGTTTATCGCG